GATTACTTAATGGTAAGTTGTCCTTCTCCAAAGAACCATAAGCAAGCTCGATCAACTATGTAGGACAAAGCAAAATCAGCACAAAGTACTTGAACCAGAATGATTCGGAACTGCAACAAGAAAAACATATCATGTAAAAGTAGGGACATAGACCACTTCAAAAATATTGCACAATATGCAATTCAATTTTACCTCTAATGGGAAGTCAACTATTTCAAACTGTTGAGCTACTTCTGGGAATACACCTAATGCCAAAGCAAATATAAATGCAGTGGAGCCCAATACACTGAACATGAGAGGGCGATTCTCTTTCAAGCTCTCCATAAATGGATGTCCCTAAAAGAAACAAATCCCAATGAAAGAGTTATGTTAACATAAAAGACAGTAGAACTTCATTTAGTCATATAATTATATATCATGCGTGCATGAATCAAGCAAAAAGTGAAAGCATTTCCTAAAAAACAATCAGGATTAAAGTAAAATATATAAAAACGCAAAAAAAAAAAAAAAAAAAAAAGAACATCACAAAAACTACACTTTTTAATATGCAATAGAAATACACCAATTAAGATACAGCATTTTACTTACCCTATAGTTTATGGCAAATGTGGCAACTTGCAGGGCCATAGATATTATGTAAACAGTGCTGTTAAGAATGCCGGGAACAAATTCTTGAGGAGCATCATCATCAAGATCCATATTTAAAGTTATTTTTCCATCCCTTTAAAAATGCATGACATTGGTAAGAAAAGAACCAGTGAAAGTTGCCGGTAACTGACAAAAAGTGTGGCGAAAAATACCTTGGAGGAGAACGAAGAGTTGCCTCCTGAACTAAATAAATGAGACACACAAAGTGGACAGCAAATTGGCCAAGGACTGTCAACACAGTGTAAAAGTTAAAAATATTTGAGAGAGGTCTTTCTTTTGAAAGCACCTTAAGAGGCTGTCGAGAAAAACATTTAACTTGTGATTAAGCAGTTGATTGATAAAGATATCAGAAAAAAGTCACTAATCAGACCTTGGATCTTGAAATGAAGAGGAAACATGTGGCAAGCAAAAGACCTTGAAGTGTTGCCTGCATGTCACTGAGCTTGATGCCATCAACATACAGTACGGACTGGCTGTATGCAAGGATTAGAGCGTTTAAGGCAAGAATCTTAAACATTTGCAGAGTTGTAACAAGTGTGCAGCGCCCCTGCTTAATAATGTGACAAACTGGAACAAAGATAAAGTAGACAGCGCATTCAAAAAAATGTATACGGGAAAATCATCCATTAACATTACTATACACATACTGCATAGAATGGAAGAAAGTTTGCTAGTGAATGGTGCAGCAATACTAGCATCACCAAGTTTTACTATCTGTGGTTGGTCCATTTCTTCTACTTCCTTCAATAACTTTTGTATTTGTTCTTGAGCTTTATTAAGTGCAGCCTGTTTTTTTTGGTTTTTTTAAACAAGAGAAGATAATAGCAATAACTTTAAGTATCAAACTTGATGGGTCATTTAATTTACCAAATAATTAGACAGAAGAAGTTTTTGAATTACCTGACGAGGGTCTGTCATCTGACGGGGCCCCGGTCTTTGAGGTCCAGCTCTTTCAAGAGGTCCATGACTTCTCTCATGAGACGAGTGGTCAATACCTTCAATTTCTCTTCTTTTCTTTTCCTTATCTTTTCTGCTTGGCAGTCGTTCTGGAGCATTAGTGAGGATTGCAACACCTAGATGGCATGTGTAAAGATTAGAAACCTCTCTCAAACCTTGATGGAACAAAAGATTTTTTGATTATATTTATTACCAATATGGGCATGTTTTAAAGCTCCTACATCATTGGTTCCATCACCACACATAAGAGCGCAAAAGCCTAGTGACTTGAGACCTACAATAACCATTTCTTTTTGTTTAGGGGCAACACGTGCAAAGACTTGAATATGTGGTAAAATAGAATACCAAAACTTTTCATGATTTTCAAAAAGGTATGAAAGCCCCTGTAAAGTATAATAAATGTATTGATAAAAATAAATACTTTTACCAAAAGATAACATATGAACTGTGAGGCTAAAAGATCACCAACCTCTCCTGTCACACATAGGTCATAAGACTTAACAAATTTTCCATCTTGTAAGCTCTTTGCCAATGAAACACTTTTGGTCTGGTCAATGCTCTCCCAAATCCACTCGTTGGAAGCTGATAAGGTCAGAATAAGAGTTTCTCCTATGGATGCAAACTTCAGTTCTTTGGCAACATGACAAGCAGTTAATGGATTATCACCAGTTATCATAACAACCTGGAAGTGTAATAGAAAATATATGTGTAGAAACCAGTTGATTTGAAGCTTGCTTTCAAATTGAAAAATTAAATTAGCATACTTTATGTGAAGCATTTTGAATCTCCTGGATGACCCTTTTAGAATCGGTCTTTAGGGGGCATGATATAATGACAAATCCAGCGAAATTTAATTCTCTTTCTAGCTCTTCTCGTTTTAAATCGCGTGCCTGACCCTGGGTTAGGCGACCAAGCTCTTTCCAAGCTAAAGCAAGAACACGAGCACCACGTCTTGATAGTTCCAAATAGACTTTGTTGTAATCTTCAGGAACAGAGGCAAGCTAAAAAGAAAATTGAGAAATTACTTCATAAAACAGCATTTCACAAGGAGACGCTTCTTGATAATAAGATGATAGTAGCTTACCATATCTCTGATTGTTTCTGGAGCTCCTTTAACAGTTGTTATGTAAGTTGTGTCAGTGCTACCAGGAAGAGTGTACCCAGCAACAACTGACATACGTTTTAAAGCAGATGAAAAGTGGTGTCTATGGAATATTTTGATCCCTGGAGACTTTCCTTTTTTTGGAATAACTGCATCACCTGAAAAATAAGAAAATTATATAGACTTAAGGATATGACCTATGTTCATGTCCAACAACTTAGTCAAATAAAGGTGACTGAATTGTATTAAGTGCAAAACCATTCTTAAGAGAAAGTGTACCTTTAGTAAGATTCCAGTCCACTGCTGTCAGAGTGGCTTTCTCAAGAGGATCTCCCACCAAACCATCATCGAGCTGTGCAAGTGCATGGCATGTTGCTAGAACCTGTATTGTTTCCAAGGGAGCATCTGATATTGCAACCACGCCAGAACGTCCTCTGCAGGACAGATAAACAAAAAGTGTGTGAATATGGACAATGCATTTTTCAAAAAGGACAATTTAAAGTACAAAAGGTCTTTTAAAAATGAAAACATACTTGAGACCAGCTATTCCTTCAACAACTAGATTATCACTAGTTAAAGTTCCAGTCTTGTCAAAACAACAAATTTCAACTTTTCCCGCAAATGGTATACGAAAAGGCTCAGTACAGTAAACAGCTAAAAGAAAAGAAGACAGTTAAAACTGATTCAAAGCCAAATCATTAAAAGTATTCAATGTAAAGTTTTCTTAAAATTTACCTAGCTTTGAAAGTGAAAGAATTGAAGCATTAACAGCAAGGGACAATTCAATTGGCAACTCTGGAGGCACAACTGAAGTTAAGATTAGAGCACACTCCAAAAACAGTTTATAACGGTTGCGCTTGGGGTCTTCAGAACCTGTAGAAAAGAGTAAAATTTAAAATGTGCGTCTAGTAGTTTTTGGTTTTTAGCAGTAGGGATTCAGAAAATTACCTTTCACCCAAACGTAACCAGCAGCAGCTAGTGCAAATACCAGCAAGAACATGATGAATCCAAATGTTTCCAAATTGTTAGCTGTGACACGTTTGACACCAAATAAGATTGTGCGGAGAAGTTTTCCCTGAGAAGTGTTAAATCCTGTTCTAAGAACATATGCCACACAGCCATTATCTTGAGCTAGAATATTAAAATAAGTTATAAGTGGGTATTCAAATATGGGAAATGACAGAAACTGTGAAAGTCAATTTACTATGAAGACTATGGTGACAACTAGGTAATTCAATTTACCTTTGAGGCCAGCAGATGTTTTACTGGGTGGTGTATGCTGAACCACCTTGGTACCACCAAAAAGAACGTGCAATTTGCCATCTGCCTCAAGGTCTAAGGGCTGACTCAAATCCATAATATTTTCTATTGGCTCTTTCATCTGAGGTACACTTTCTCCAGTCAACATGCTCTCATCTACAATACACGGACCTCTCAAAAGCAGCATATCACAAGGCACAAAATTGTCATTCTGAGATCTTGCAATGGACACTATATCCCCGGGAACAAGTTGATCACTCAAAATTTGTCTCCATCGACGGTTGCGGTAAACCTGAATAGAGTAGAATCATCGTTAAATCCAAATTTGGCTTTAATCATTTCTGGAAAAGACTCAGATTAAGATTGAAAAATAGGATGGATACAAAATGCCAACCTGAATAGAATATGGTTTGTTACCCATCTTGCGAATTTCTGCCATATTTCGCATTTGTTGCTGAACAAGTGTGCATTCAAACAATACAAGCATGATAAGGGTAAAGATTGAATAGTACCAATACTTATCAAGGCACCACAATGCCACACAAAATACTTGAAAAACAAAAAATGGAGCAGTTGCACGTTCTTTAAAGAGTTCTGAGAACTCAGGCACTACCATATCTAGGCTGCAAAAAATAATAATGAATTCTTGTGCAAGTACAACTTTGTTCATACTTAAATAAAGATCAAATTTAAGGCATACTCACTGATTTCTTCCATAAAAGCTTTCTGCCTTCTGAATATCAGATTCTTCCTGATAACCTTTCCATTCCATATATGTTGAAAAGCTAAGGTCCACTGGGAACCGTAAACCTTGGAAGCATTTTCTTTCATGGTCCCACACATACTTTGTCTTTTGAAAGACAAACCATAAACTATCATTTTTGTCATCATCCTTCAAATAAATAAATGTTGTCGGTATTAATTTGAACTAAACTCATACAACATATAAAAATAATCAGTCCTTTGAGAGTATAAGGATAGGATCTCACTTTGAAATGATGAACTTTTATGAGTTCTGAAGATCCATTGTTGTCTGTCGGCACTACTTTTGCAACTTCAGCTTGTAGTGCGTCTTTCACCTAGAACAAGCACAGTTAATTAGTTGTGTCACTGAAATATTTTGACTGAAAGTAGCTTCATTCCAACTAGAATCCAAGTATTGATCAGCAGTTAGACTCATAAAATTGTATAAAATTATTTCAGTTGTTTCAGTTGATAAATATGATGTAGTATATATATTTCCTTGTAGGGAACAGGTGAATTAGGGACAGAACTCAATCCCGCACAATACACCGCTCAAACATTAGTTCCCCACTGAGTCTCTGCACTAATTGACTGGACTTGAATGAAAACTTGTTTGATAGAGGTAATGTATGAGCAGTGGCTGCATTCTACCCAGAACAGAACACAGCTGAGTACGCTTCGACTGTCAATGAGCTGGTGATTGGGGAGAGGGGGGGACGATGGGGGAGGTTATAGACGTCAGCCCGGCTCGCAGAACTCACCGATCCGCAAGTCAGGAAACACCGCACGTGCACGGACCAGTGGCAGCAAAGGCATATCAAGACCTGGAGGACTCCCAGTCCAGCCAAACCGGTGAACCCCGCCTCGACGTGATCGTCGATTCCGTACACAAACAGCCAGCCGTACAGCCACGCAGGGTACAAGACCAGGAACGGGAACACGTAGCCGTGCAGCAGCAGCGGCCGGGGCGCGTGCAGGGTTACTGACTGCACCAGCTCGTCCACGGCGTTTATCTGCTTGGCCGAACGTTTGCTTGGCGACGGAGGAACGTTTTCATCTCCGCTGCCAGATTTTGCCATGTTTCTGCTGCTGCTGCTGCTGCTGCTCCACAACACAAGTCAGCAGCAGTAGACTCTACGCCTACGTCACTGCACCCTCACGGAACGGCAACACACCGGCGTCGCCAAGGAGCTCGGCCTCACCGAGAATCGGACGTCGGCACAATGGAACTGTGCACCACACTTTTCAAACAGTTTCAACAAGTTATTTGTAGGGTTTGCGAAAGTTGCAAACTTTTCCGTACCAGTACGCACGAAAGGTGTGGAACTACAAAATTCAACGGGTTAATGTTCCCGATAGTGGTCTAGCAGACGGCATGTCACTTCAACTGTTTTGTGTCTGACCCCGCCATTGTTTTGGTTTAGTTGCATTTGACGCGCATTTGACAGTTTTTTTTATTTTATTGGGGGGTGTCGAAATTTCACTGCGTGTGTTTCGTTCTGTGTATTTAATTTGATATGTGAATTTTTCTCATAAAATTTAAAGTATAACATGGACATCTTACTTATGGCAGGTAAGAACGCCATTTATTAATATTTTTTTAGTGCTTACTTTACATCACAGTTTGTTGTAGAACTATAAACTATGCTACCACAATTAATGTTAACTTGACCATATACTATCCTTTAAAACACAATAATGAAGAACACATTTTAACGTGGAGGTAGCTCAAATAGTTTGAGATTGCACCTTGGCATTTACGTAATTTACAACATTTCTTATCATGATTTCTTATTACCAATTGGCAAACTACATAGATCAAGGCTTGATAGGTATCTTAATCATGTTCTCAGGAGCATTCTCTGCATATTTCCTTGGGTATGGACCTCTGCCATAAGTCACAACATGCTGCTCATCAAATGCAGTCACATCATCCTCTTCCTCCTTGTCGTACACCCAGAATGACGAGTTAAATCTCGCTCTTGCCTTTTGCTTTTCATCTACCACACTACTGTGCTCATATATGCACTGAAAGGAGGAGAAAAGTTTCAGTATTAGCAACAGTTAATGTCAAATAGCAGCAAAATAGAATGAAATATACTTGACAGCTCAAAACGTACATGTCTACAGCTTTTTCCACAACATTTTCCCTTGAGATAATGTCGAAGGCGTGTCAAAACTTTTTCGTTTAACCATGGGTCGTCATAAGTAAAGTGACCTTTAGCAACAGCCTCAGCATGGAGGACGTGTATTCGCCTCTCCTCAGTGGTCAGGTTTTCAATACATAGCATTTTTCGGTATTGATCTTCTAGTTCCCTAAACTTTTTCTTCTTTTCTTCAAAATCAGGCTGGTTTGCTTTTTTAGATTCCGTTGAATAATTTTCAAGACGACCAATATGTTCTTTGGATACATTAAAATTGAGCAGACAGCTTCTTTTAAGTGCTTTCAGGTTATGACAGCAAAGAGGGACTGATCGAATAGGGAAACACAATCCAGCCATCGGAATTTTTAGAAGCCTCCCGGTCACGAGAAATAGCACTGATAGTACACAGTTACTCTTTAGCCACTGACAACATCTTAGGAGCTCCTATTTCAAGTTTTCAGATTTTAACTCCCGTTTTCTCGTACGTCGTCTGAAGGCAGACAAAAACAAAAACAACACACAACAGAAACAAACGAAAATCGTTGAATCAGCAGAGCAGACAGTGTTGCCACAACGGGATGCTGTACCTCTGTGGCGCGATGATTTAAAACGTGCGCGTTTAATGCAACAATTTCTACCTGTATTGTGTCTGTGTGGTGAGGGGAAAGAGGTTGGGGGAGGGGGGATGGGTAATTAGGTGCCTTAGAATTTTAAAGCTTGGAATAAAGACAACTTGCATTTTCTCTCATTCTTTAAAAAGTTACATACTATGCAGCTTTTTTAATTTTTTCTCTTTTTTGTACAGACGAGGCTGTCGTCACCTGTCGCCACTCTGTCGGCCTCGGCGGACCCGTCGCAAGCCCAGAGGCCCGGGTGGGCCATTCAAATAGAAGAAAACTCAACATTCATTAGAAAAAAATAATTCTACGCTGGAATGAAACTGGCAATCAACGCCGGTGATGCCGGTGTTTGCCTGCCGGGAAAGGTGAGTCGTGAGGATTTCAGACGAGAAAGGGGAGAGGAGGAGAGAGGTGGTTATCGGGACGGAAAGAAAGGTCACAGGGATGAGAAAAGAAATAATACTGGCGGCTTTGAGTCGGGCGGGCAAGAGCGGCGCCTGCCAAACAACCTCTCTTATTTGAATTCCCCCGCGCCCGCTGAGTAACTTTTCCCTACGACGCCCGATCGAGAAATATTCCCCCCTCTCTCGTTGCAGCGATCTGAATAGCGCCTGTGCCGTCTACCTTATTACGCGAGGGTCATTGGGGGAGGGGGGGGGGAATGGCAAATAGGAGGCCTTTCGAAGCGCGCCGCCTGCAGCCGGGGGCCCCTCCTCAAAGTCAGTCGCTCACGTTTTTATGATATTGTAAAATATCCGTTGGAACTCCCGCACCCCCACCCCCCGTTCAGCCCGTTTTCCTCGTGCCTCCACGACGCCTCTCTGGAATGGCACATCGGAATCTGTGTCCATCCCGCGGAGGTCCTCGCAGACACTTTGGGCATCCCGCCGAGGCGCTGGTGGAGCAGGTCTAGTCTTATGCCTCGTGTCTTGAGCAGTCCCCTGCAGCCACGGACGGGGCCCATAGGCGCCTTTGGGATCCCACATGAGTTCTGGTCGGTTCTGGTCGTCGTGAGGCTCAGCCCTGAGGCCCAGTTTATAGGAGCCCTGTAGCCACGAGCCCCAGTCACCCAGTGCCAGCCAACTTCGGCGAACTCCGTTTGTACTACTTCAAACTCATGCGCCGCGGAGCCGGAGCGCACCGAAACCGAACGGCGAGAGAGAGAGACGAATAAGAAAGGGAAAGTTTGGAGTGGGAATGTCGTTTCCAAGTATATTTGAAGCCACAACGGTGCGATGGCCGTGTGTTTTTTTTTTTTAATCCCCTCCTGCTTTCGATATGTTGATGTTAGACGGGACTCTGAATTTGCCTATCGCGAGCGAACGGCTATCATGGAGACCGATACACTTTAAAGGCAGAAAAAAAAGTGGGATAGGTCCTGAGAGAGTTTGGGAGGAGGAGGAGGAGGAGGAGGAGGAGGAAGGGAACAAGAGGTAGGGGCCGCGGGTAAGGGTTACCTACCTATAGGACCTACCCTATAGGTCCGGAAATTTACGCAAAAAATCGTAATATTTTTTGAAACATTACCAGAAAAATAGAATGAAAAAAAACAACAAAAAACACCTTTCCATGGAAATGTTAAAAGGTCAAATGCAGGTGGCTGATTCACGCCGCGCACTTATGTAGGCATACTGTGCCGCATGCACGAGTGCGGGCGGGTTGCCCATCGCCCCTGTCCACGGCGCCTTACGAGCCGGGCGAGTAGGCAACCCGCCCGCACTCATGCGTGCGGTACAGCATAACTACAGAAGTGCGCGGCGTGAATCAGCCACCTGGTACAATTTTTGGTTGAAAATTTCCCCAAAAATACTTTGTTTGGAAAATTAAATTCCCTGGTATTCTGGTTGCTTTTGGAACGCCCCGCGGTTCGCGATTCTTTGGGCCGATAACTGTTATCGGCGCAGTATAATTGAATGCAGGCGCCTTGTGTGTGTGTGTGTGTGTGTGTGTGTGTGTGTGTGTGTGTGAGGCCGAGGCTGGGGCCCAAGTGCTGCCGCCGGGCCTAATGTCTTGGCGGCGATACAGACTGCATGGCCTTGCTCATTACCAAAGGGACAGAGCCGGCGCCCCCCCCCTCCAATCGAAAACCGGTTCCGGATGTGATGGTTTTAATATCGCCGAGCTCTGTGTGGAGCCATACAAGTAGGGAGGTGCCGGCGGCGGCGGGGGTGGTATAGGAGTTGCGGAGGGCTGTTCCGGGCACTCTGTGCAGCGGTATGCCAGTACCGCAGTGCAGCCGACGCCTCCCTCCCTCCCTCCCTCCCTCCCTCCCTCTCTCCCTCTCTC